TTCTCCTAAGAAGATCGGAATTTCTACGAATGGGAACGCAACGGAGATCATATTGCCTAAAAGCATCGGATGCATTCTTTTCAAATGAAAATGGAGTAAGAACCCCATAGTGTCAGTGACCATCGGACTGTCAGGCGCGAAGAATGATCAGTACGGCAGAGGTGCGTGGAGAACAATGCTCGCAACCGGGGACGGATGGCTGTGCCCAAAAGTGGCGCTAAGACACATAAGACAAGCGAGAAGTGAACTCGGACGAGAGGATGCCCTGCATTTATGTGTAGATCTGGATGCAGAGGAAGTGACGAGGACATTCAAAAAGCTAGCGGCGTCTATTGGGATTCGTGAAGAGAACTACTCTACCCATTCCATTCGGATTGGCGGTGCAACGTCTCTGTTGAATGGAGACGCTGACAGCTTGGCTATCAAGTTGCTTGGTCGATGGTCGAGTAGGTGCTTCGAGGACTACCCAGTACAAACGGCGCAGTCAACAAAGGAGTTATCACGCAAGATGATCTGAAGCCAAGCCCGTGGTCGTGCTAAGCACTGTTCTTGACCCCCACTCACCACGCCCCCAGACTTGGCTGGCGGTGATTCAACACGATTGAGTTGCCCCATTAAGGTTTCTTGCATAACGGAAAATCAGAAAAATGAATATCGCAAGTATGTCGAGGACAATTTTGGCGAGGATCTCCAGGCGAAGAAGCTTTGCGTGTTCGGTGTGGAAAATACGACAGATATTCTCCGAGATACTGTCGAGGGTTCCAACATTGAGCTCCGGGGTCGCACTGATCTGCTTCTACTTAGTGATAACGTCATGGAGAGTGCGGATTATGTGCACGACTTGCCTGAAGTGAGGATGCTGATTGAAGTGAAGAAAACGGCTTAAGGACGTTCTGTCTTCCAGGCGATGTCAGAGCTTATTGCTCTGGAACTGATGGCTACCGACCTAGTGATCGCCCTGCTTACTGACTTTAGCGACGATTGGCACAGGCACCACCTTTACCTGAAGGCGTCCAGAAGCTCCTCGTACTCGGTTGAGCCCACCTTCGAGTGGACATATGTCTTGCGCTTGGTTAGCACAGTTTGCGCGTGAATTTCGGATGTCCTTGGTTATGAATCTGCTGATAAGAGTTTATTTTCAGCAATGATGATTGCACGACATAGTAAAATAACGAGACTGCAATCGTAGATTGTTATATGTTCTTTGGTGCGAATCGCACCGTGCGAAACACTGGGGAAAAAACATCTACTTGACCAACCAACCAAGTTACTACTTGGAGAAACCAGCGACGTACGCCACATGCAACAGCGTCTGGGTTGGAGGATCGGCTGGATAAAGCCGAAACTTATCGCTCGTCTCCCAGTCTGGTACCAACGCAATATATCTGACACTGGCAGTGTCCGGGAACAGCGCAGCATATTTGTCAAGTGCCTTTGCATCAATGCTGTGTTTGACGGACTTCGTTATTTGGATCAATCCGACAACGTCCTGTCCATCCATGCTCAACTTGGCAACACTGTCGATGGTCGCCAAGCAACGATCGAGCGGATACCAATAGTCTACACCGGATAGTTGCTGCATCATCGCTTCACATTCTGCTTCATCCCTTCCTTCATTGCGATACGTGCTGGCTTTGAGCTCCAAGGGAGCGTAGGTGTACTCATGCTGCCTTGTTCGGTCGTATTCCCTCACTTGCAGCTCGATTTCCTTTCTATCCCTTGCCATTGCATGCACGTAATTCTCGAGCGCAATCCCCATTAACGCATCGTCCCCAAGCACGCGGCCCTTTGACCACAACTTTTCATAGTACGATGGTGTAATGATGTTGCCAAGTTGTCTCAACGCATACTCGGAGGTGATCGCAGAAACCCATGAACTTGACAACTTGTACTTGACCAAATTTTTTGTGTTTGCGGGATCAGGTCGAATGGACGTCATCTGTAACCAATCAACTTGTTTCATCGGACCCCGAGCATACTGGGTATGAAGAAGTTCTGCATCATTCTCATCCACGCGGCCAAGAGCTCGGTCAATCAAATCTTTGGCCTTGATCTTCGGCGACAAGAAATCGCGCAAATTTCCACCTGAGTAAAAATACTTCTCCTTAATATCGTTTTCAGTCCAACGAAAATGCACGCCAATGTTGTTCAAATCTGAACTCGACCAAAATGGCACTAGGCATCGCCAGAGCAAGACGTCGTCGTTCTTCAATAAATACTGCTGAGATGTGGCAAGCAAACGGAATCGTGTGAGCCGTCCAAAGTTGTTCTTAACATCCTCTTGCGTGAAACCGTCCAGAATCAATTCAAAACCTTCCCCGTTCACAAGATCAAGATCACTGAGTTCCGCTCTCTCTTTCCGCCAGTATCGCTTGTTGCTTGCATCCATGTACAGCACGGAGGATCCTTTGCCTTTAATCTTCCGAAACAGGATGATCCGTTTTTGTTGACACAACGCCATGTAGAGCGCAAACAGCACAACGAGCGTGCTCTTGCCAACCCCAGGCGCTCCCACGAACACAGTGTTAAGCCCCTTTTTGATGTGATCCTTGAAAATCTGGATGATATCCAGCGTCTCCTTTCGCACGTATAGCCACTGGGGGAAATCCGGCTCGACGTTACAAACGTTGAGAGCAACGCCACCAACGTCCCACGTCTCCAAGTCCAGGGTGGCAGCTACTGCCATCATCGTTTCGTCCTGAATTTCAGTCCCTATTGTTTTCACCTTCTTAACTGCACGTTCCCTTTTCTCTGAATCGTGCCTTTCGCGCGGTGGGACCACCACCAACACGTGGATTTGGTCAGCGGATAGTTGCGGCATCTTGTTCTTTCAAACAGCAAGAACTGCAAAGTCTTACTGGCCCGCATCTGCCCTGCATCCATCATCTTGTGTATGTCAGCATAAGTCGTCCCTTTCTCCAGGTCCAGCGCAGCAGAGTCCTCGTCTGACAGCCATGCGCCGCCCTCCGTCTTCGCCAGATAGAGGATGCAATGACGCTCTTAAACTTATCGTCGTGGATAAACTTCTCTTTCATTTCCTTCCAGATCGCCTTCTTTAAGTCTCCCACCAGCTGACTTGCGTCGATGTCCACAGAGGAAATGCTTCCCGCCACACCATCGATCGCACAGACAAGCGTCACCATCTTTCCTCAGATTCTGGAATGAAAAAGGGAATTGCTGGCGTACTTAAGCGGAAAAGAAGGCGTATCATAAATTTTCAACCAATGATGAGACGCCACGTCGTTGAGGTAAAAATCTGTCGGCGTAATGTTCTACATGTATTGCTTTTATCAATACATGTATAGGTCCGTTGAGCGGTTCTAAGACTAAGATCCAAAAGACGTGGCTTTCGCTCTCAGGTGGTTGAGAGGTTGCGTCGTCAAAATAGCACCTGGTCCGTAAGAAGGTTCCAGGAATGTTCTTGGTGGTAAATAACGGTAAGGAAAAAAACTGCCGGCGTAATGTTCCATGTCATACAGTACTACTGAAGTGTTTCTCGAATAGTAGCTTCCATGTACGGTAGGTCTTAGTTTCTTCATACGATGGCACATAGCTCTCCGATTCCTTGTATTTCGGCATTTTAGTAAGAATTTTAGAGCTAAGTTTCTTCTGAACTTGTGGATTGAGACTCAGCGCGTGAAACAGCTACGCTAGCGTGTACCCAGTCGCGCACTAACGTCGGCGCAATATCCTGCTCACTACTCAAGAGAAAAGTCAAAATGTTCTTGCCGGTTACTTGATTCCCTGCTTTGGTCGCTCTGATGTGTTCCATGGCTTCCATAATCAAGTTTACGATGAACTCGTCCATCTCTCCGATAGCTTCACGGAGCCGCCGTTCGCTTCCGATGTTCAGCCATCGCATGGGCTTCCAGACCCACGTTGGTGTAGAGAGACGTTTGCCCGTCATGTGGTTTGCGGCATCGAATGCTATCTCAAACGGGCAGGTTCGGCGATTTCTGCTGGGACGTTTATTCAACGCTTCATAAACAAGGAGGCAGCAGTGCAGAACTGATCGCGGAGCGTACAAGGGTGCTGCATGGAT